GGGCCTGGGCACTGTCCCTGAGCTCTTTTGCTCATGGCTACTACTCTACCACTTGAGCCACAGCGCCACTTCCAGGTTTTTCTGTGATTAATTGGAGATAAGAGTCTCACAGACTTTCCCTGCCCAAGCTAGCTTTGAACTGCAATCTTCAGATTTCAGCCTCCTGAGTAGCTGGTATTACAGAAGTAAGCCACCAGAACCCAGCTCTTATTTCCAATTAACTACCAAAAAGCTGGAAGTGGAGGTGTGGCTCAAATGGTAGAGTGCCAGTCTTGAGTGAAAAATGACAAAGGACAGTGCCCTGACCCTGAGTTCGTCTCAGTACCAGCACAAAAAAGAAAAAAGAAAGAAATGTTGAAACACCATTGGCTTCTTAAAATTCTTAAATTAAGAGAAAGGCTTGCATTCATTGCAGCCAAGATATAGAAACAACCTACATGTCCACCAACCCATAAACAAAGAAACCATGGTATACACACACAAATATTACTTAATTTTAAAAGGGAAATAAACCCTGCCATTTGCAACACCTGAATGAACATGGAAGACATTACATTAAGCAAAAAAAGTCAGACACAGAAGAAAACACAACTGTAATCTCACAAATAGTTGGATACTAAAAATGTCAAATTCATAGAAGCAAAATGTAGATGGAATGGTGGCTGCCAGTATGGGGGATGGAAGGAAGGGGAGATGTTGGTCAAAGACTATAAAATTTCAGTTATATAGAATGAGCAGGCTTACAGTCATTATATATAACACAGGTATAGTTAACAGCACCATATTGTATATTTGAGATTTGCTGAGAGTATAGATTTCAAATGTTCTCAAGCACAGGAAAAGGAGGGAGGGAGGGAGAAGAAAGAGGAAGGGAGGAAAAAAGGAAGAGGGGGAGGAAAGATCGAAAGGAGGAAAGAGAAGGGAAGGAACAGCTATTAATGAACACTTACATCTGATTTGAAAATACATTTATGAAGAAAATATTATAAAATTATGTCAACTTTCAGGCAAGTATATACCATCCCTAACTCCACAGGCAAACACAACATCTGTGGCTGAGTAACAGACAACCCAAGCCAGCCAAGATGAAAAGAGAGCAGGCAGAGGAGCTTGTTAACATTGTCAAAGGTCTGATGACTAGAAACCGCCAGGGGAAATGGATGAACTTATTCAACTCAGAAAAGAATTGTGGCAGCTGGACCTTCTCTATCTTCCCAGAGAGTGGGGTGGGTTTGAAAGCCAGCCCCAGGTCTCTCTTCCACACGGAGAGGACTTCCTAGCAGCCACTGTGTGAGTGAATACAGAAAGGACAACAGCGGGGGACTGAGGAGCCTATGTAGGTGGCAACTCTGAGATGAAAAGGCTGGGGGAACAAGCGCTAGTATTACCTCCAGGATTCCTTCTATCTTTCTGATTCTGTAATTTCTTAAAACACATTGCACCTCAGTGCTTCACAAAATTCAGAAAACACAAGTGATACATCACCCTATGCAGAAAAAGGCAGAAATTTTTCATTCTTCCTTTTTAATACTTATGACATGACTATGCCCCACAATTAAACTGTCTTTCCATCCTCTCCAACAACTGGGCTAGCATACATTTCAAAAGATAGGGCAAAGGACTATAAATGCAGGTCTTGACTGATTGAGAGTTACTCATCTCTTCACCAAGTGGGCCTGTCTAGACGACTATGCTATTTTAAATCTTAAACCTGGCTCTCACTTCTTAGTGCCACATCTCTCTAGATTCCTCTTCTTATTGCCTAAATATCAGCATCAAGAGAGAATTTCAGGGCTAGGGATAGCTGCTCTATGGTAAACCTCTTGCTAGCAAGTTACAAAACCCTGGGTTCTATTCCCAGTTCCAGGAAAAATAAATAGATTATCTGGCTCTTAAAAACTGCTAATAAACTAAGAGTAATAAGCAATGAAAAATGTTCATTCCAGAGAATACAATCACCAAAAGTCTATAAACCTTAAACAGTTCCTTCCTTCCTTCCTCCCTTCCCTTCCCTTCCCTTCCCTTCCCTTCCCTTCCCTTCCCTCCCTTCCTTCCCTCCCTTCCCTCCCTCCCTCCCTCCCT